GTTAAACCCCCTCACTCATACACCACACACACACACACATACACATACACACACACATATATATATATATATATATTTATATTTATATTTATATATGACATTTCCTGCTTCAAATGTTTAGGAGATATAAAGTTGTAAAAAGGTTGAAAATGGCTTTTTAATGTACCGAGTGTAGGAGACCGGAGGGGACCAACGCCATCCACCTCCTCGAACTGAGACCATTCAAGGTTAGACGAGGTCACATGCGATTGCCCGATTAGAAGGGACTTACCACAAGGTCCGTTTGCGCCTAGGCGGGGTCTCCGATCCTTCAGGTTCGTTGGCCTCGTCTGGCTTATCTGCGAGTTAACAGTCCAGGAGAAGTGGACGGGAAAGTGAAAGCAGTGAAAAAGGTGTAGCGATGGTGACAATTTGCCTCAATGAAGCCTGAGGCAGGGTCCGGCGCCATCCACGCATCAGGTTAGCATTTCACACATTTTGCTGTACCAGCCATAGTTGCCTGTGGCCTTGTCGACTTTAGGAATGGTCGTTCATGTGCGTAGTTGTCAGAGCAACTCTCGTAATTGTGCCGGAACGCCTCAGCCCAGAAGCAAATGAAGGCGGTCTGGCCTGATCTGGAGAGCGTGGAACATTCGCACTCTCAGATTACAAGCATCGGTGGATGACCGCCCACTCCGGCCGGCAGCGACACGAGGAACAAGTGTTTGGCCATTTGTGAGGCTGCAAGTGTCTGTCTGCAATTGCCTCTCCAGACTGACATGTCCACCTGATCTTCCGGTACATGCAAAATGGATCGCGTGACAGCGTCTGACCAAGCCTCTAATCGGAAACCGGCAATTAGTCGGAGCTGAAAGTGGCACATTCGGCAGAAGACAAGTTGTCGGACTGGCAAAGAAAAGGGGCCCATCCGATTTGGTGGCGGGTTGGCGACTTGCAAGTCGGCTGGACGGTGCGCGAGCAAGCACTACAAGACCATGTGCCTCCGGTTGTCAAGGGCCCAGTTTACATGGTCAAAAACATCATTACCTCCACCCCCCTGACAGTCACTAGTAGAGGGAAGATTGAATAGTCATCCCATGACGTAAGCCCTCGATGGATAGACCATTCGTACCGTCCAAACCCTCTGCGAGTCATACCAATAACGTTGGATATAAGAACATCACTTACTCACTGCACATGATACAGATTTCGTTCCTTTCATCGTATGTTGAGTTTGCCAACTGTATGCGTCT